TTTTTTCAAGTATCCTCTCGTTTAGATATCCTCTGAAGCGTTATTTAAAAGAGAGAGAGGGGGGGGGAGGGGGAAATTATCCATAGACAATAGACTAGCTAGATCGGTAGTACATCTGTGTGAAACTTTTATTTTAAACGGCAATTACAAGCCGAGACGTTGTAATTAGAGTCGTCGAGAATCAGAGGACCGGCAGAATAATCCACGAACGACACTTTCTTTTCATTTCGGTGGCAAGCAATTATGCGTTTACCGAGACGGATGCTTTCCACACGGTTCGACTTTATTGCCACTAATTCGCGCCCATTGTGCAATCTCTTGTTTACACTCGTTTCTCTTTCAAAACTCTTCTACCGCGCGTAGTTTCGGTGTCGTTAATCGTACACGTATCGTATAATAATTACGAATGTTACGTTTCTCTCCGTGCAAATCGTGATCGTATCGTTGAACGTATTAACCGTATCGAAATGCAAATTGTAATTTAATAGTTTCCTTATAGTTTTATCATATACATGTAGATGTACACTTGAAAGAACACGTTTGCACGTTTTTCTCGGTATTGAAATTCTTGAAAGAACAAAATTATATAATTGATACATTATATAAAATGATACATCTATATCGAATAAGACTTTAACATTGCCAGAACATTGTTCGTTCGATTCATAGAATATTCAAAGAATCGCGATAATTAATAAATTTACAAGGACGTTGTTTTTTAAAATTTTTCCTCATGATGATTAATTATACGTTAATTTTGATAATTACAGATTTATGGTACAAATAAATTACATATTTTTTCTCGCGGTTAGTTTTAGTTTGCCTACAAAAACTTTACTAACAAATTCTATTTATACTACGTTGCATAATAAATGATATGCATCGTGCAGACAAGCGAAGGTTACGAGAAAATTATCTCTAATTTCTGAGTGTTTTTGTATTTAACTTTGTTATTAATGCTACGTAATATTTCCTTCGAAATGTAAATTTTAAATCGTGCGATTTCTATATTTGTACCAGACGATGTTTTTTTCCAATTTAAAAAGCATAATTATTTATTTTTATTTTTATCGTAATTCCTACCATGGTGCGAACAACGGTACGATCCTTTGATGGATATAGCTAGTTAAAATGTAAAAATTCTCGACACGTTTTACGTACGAAGATAGAAATTTTTCGAGAAAAACGTCTAAATATTAATTTTTAATTAGTTTCGTTATCGAGTTGGAGTACGGACGAAGCGAAAAGTCGGATGAATTTCTCGCCTTTTCTACTTTCCTCCGTAAATTCGAAGAATACGGGGAGCATAGTGCGAGGCGAATTTTCAACGGAAAGAGAAATAGTGCGCAACTTTTTGTTTCATCCTTAGTTCTTAGTTCACTACACGGGTAACAGCATTTGTGTGCGCGTGTGATACACGAACGCTACCTCGTGATAGAACGTTGACCCTGCCCAGTTCGCGGTCGAGAAATCCCTCCAAACAAACGAAACCGTTAAAATACAAAGACTCGTGTGTCCCACGTCCACCGATATCGTCGCACCATATTTTCCAACTGCTTAATAATACATCTATATACCTACGCGTAAGAAGAGAGAAAAAAAAAAAATGAAATCGAGGGAAAAAAGAGAGACGCGAAACGAAAAAAAAAGGATCGAAGGAACATATGAATTTGGAATATGCGTGATAATAATTGCGATGGAAATCGAATGGAAACGAAAGCGAAAAAGCGAAGGGAAGGAAGAAAAAAGAAAGGAAAATAGAAAACTAACCTTGTTCCCAGTGAGCAAAAGGATTCGGTCGATTCGACGGGAAACGAAATCGATCGATATTCGAAATTCGACGTTGGCGATGACGTTGAAGGCAGAAATGTGGAAAACGCGGCTGGAACCGGCACTTCACCTCTACTTCTCAACTCTGCTACTCAAACATCGGAAGCGGAAGGAAATATTTATGCGCGCCGCGGCAGATTGAACGGATCGAAGTTGGAGAAAAGAAAAAGGCGCGGTGGCGTGTCGGGTGTTGGACGACGATCGCATCGCTGCCGATGATTAAACTCGACGGACGACTGTACGGATGTACGAGGAGACGATGGGAGGCAGCATCGTCCGTGTAAACGGTCGAACGGTGAGAATGGCACTGAGCGAGGGGAGTTTGAGAATCGAGCGTGGCTAAATTTCCGGACGCAGGGAGGCGCGGCGGTCAGGATCAGCCACAGGTTGCGCCCGCCTCGTTCACGCAGGCCGGGCATCTTGGCTGATCGTAAAGCGGGGAGGAGGGAGAGGACACCCTCTATGCCCAAGCGACAGAAAGAGAAATCGATTAACTTAACATCCACAGCTGCATACCCCTTCTTTCCTCCAACGTTCACGCGAGTTACGATTTCGATCGCTTTCGAAATAGACTCTCAACCCCCGTTGTATTTTAACTAAATTCCACTCGATCGATCCGCTTCCTTTTTCAAACTTTCCAAAATATTCGCTTCTCGTCCGTTTCCTACGTGCATACGAGTACGATTAATTAATTCGTAGGTATATTATAGAGAATAAGAATAAATTCGATTCATTTTATATCGATTCGTTTGATTTAATGGTATTGAAAGGTATTGAAACGTATAACGATTGTATCGCAAACGAGGATATATTTAACCCGTTACCTGTGTCGATACAACAAAATTACGATAGAAATGATTTTTGAAATTTTGAATCGAATAACGATTGCATTAATTAATAAAATTGAATAATATTGTAAAGCGAAAAATAAATTGATATAGTAAGTAAGATTAACGATTGATCGATAAGTTATCTATAATTGATGATAAATGAATCGAGTGGAAGCTCGATGCTCAACGACCGTATGTAGTGTTCGTGAAGGTATTCGAAGGTATACTCTATATTTTATTCCAACGAAAATGAAGGTAAGTAATAATTAAATCGTTACAATCGAAATGAATTTGTTTGCTCGAATCGTAATGTTAATTATTACGTTAGATGTCATTTCATATCGGTGAAAACGAAGTTATTTTGTTCGACGAATGGCATCCGGTAGATTGGCAAGGTCTTGGATGGTCGATGGTTGGTGTTATTCTCATAGCGTCTATATACGAAGGGATAAAAAATTACCGGTGAGAGATTGTTCTTCTAATGAGTAAGTAATGCACATATCATTTTTGTATCATGTGTTACAAGAGTGTTAACATATTCGTGGGATTTTTGACGAATCTTTAACGATTCTAGAGATAAAAAACGAAAATTGATATACGAAAATACGTCGATCGAGTCTTATTTATCGAGTTATAAGAAATTTAAATTGGCGCAATGGAGCGAGACGGAAATAGACGAAGACGGAATGGTCTCATTCCGTTTCCGCCTCGCTCCATCTAACGTCAACCTAAATTCCTTATAACTCGATAAATAAAATTCGACCAACATTTTCGTACATCAATTTTTTCCATTTGTTAAGAATCGATCCTCGAAAAATGTTCTACGAATATATCAACACCTTGTGTACAAAATAACGAATCTAAATCTATTAATGTTCTTTCTTTTTTCTGTCTTAGCGATCATTTATACATTAATACAACACGTTTATGGAAAAATAAAGAAATTAATAATAGAAGGTACGTACTACTTTATTTCTTAAATCTAGAATATTCTCCGATTGGATGTTCTCCGATGAATAATACTTTTCTTTTCCAAAATTGTTTTTTATTTATCAATAACACAGACTACAAATTAACTCTTGCACTCTCGTTTAATTTCAGAACATTACTCTTTTCCAAAATACACTTTCTTCAAACGATTATTCATGTTATTCAACTGGTCATAGGATATTGTCTTATGTTGATATTCATGACGTACAATATTTGGCTTTGTATAGCAGTAGCATTGGGCACGGCTCTCGGTTATTGGCTGTTTTCTTGGGATAAATCGAACGGTGACAGCGATGACTGCTGCTTATAAATTTTACATCGAATACATATTTTATCCTGATATCGATATCATTTTATCTCCTGATATAAGACACGTTATAATTGTAAAAATTGTGATATTCTTAATAAATTTTTCATACCAATTTTTCTATCATTCGTTGACATTTTATATTTTATATTCTACATTTATCATATCGTTTTAATTTTTCTTTTTGTCTTTATTTAATACGTAATTATTATATTTTTTTTTACATATTCGAACTTTTAAGAATTAATTCACAATATAATTTGTTATGAATTTACCTTTCTGTATTCTTACACATAATAATTTTATATTAACACGTACGCTATACGTATGATAAATATTTATTTGAATATATTTTTTTTATTTTATAAGTTTATCAAAATAATGGATATATACGCAGAATTAAGAAATAAAAAAAATCAAATTAAATACATATTAATTTATTAATTTTTTATTTGAATTAATTAATTATAAATATAAATATAAATATTGAAAGATATATTCATTTCACAATTGTTAAATTACATCTTTCATAAATATTTTTTATCTACCTATAAATATATTACATTGCACGTACCTATAGATTATTATTGATTGTGGTAAATGTTCCATTCAATTGGTTACGTTATCTAATCGCACTTTTTCATTATAGAACGTAATCATATATACAGAGTGTTAATGTATTTGGATCATCATTTGGTGTGTCGCTGGTGCAAGAGGATTTTATCATAGATCAGAAATAAAATATACTTTAAAATATAAAAAGATAGTAATACGAAAAATTAAAAATGAATATGAGGTTTAGAAAAAAATTTAAAACTGTGAACGAAATTATATTCGGATGGGATAAATTTAACGCTATAACATTTTCTATTTTCATATTACTCTTTTGCGTGTGGTGTTTTATATTTTTTTTCACGTATAATTCAAATACCGTACTCGAAAATCATTCAGGACATCAACATTAACAAGAAGAACAATCATTTTCTTCGACTCAAAGATGTTAAAAATATAGGTAAGTATTATATATTTTTTTTTAAATTAAGTAAAAATAATTATTTGATATCGTTATGTTAGAATATTAATAAGAATCTCAATTCATTTAAAATAAAGAATCATTTTGACAAACAATTTGTATCAACAAGCATATCGAAACGTGTCAGAGATTGGACGATATTCTCGTTAAAATTAGTAACGATGCGATTTGATCGTTTGTTTGTTCAAAACAAAGATAGCTATGTATGCATGAGATGTAAGATATATTTAAATGTTCCTATTGAACGAAACTCGTTACGACCGAAACAAAATTTTTTTTTTTTTAATGAAAAAAAAAATCACATTATTTATTCTTATTTATTCTCATTTATCTTTGTTCCTGTTACTAGCAGAATTTAAATATAAATTCACATGGATGGTACGAATGATGAAGTCAATTACACTTGATACGACTCATAATTTCACGCAATTTACGTTTGTTCGATACACGCTCTCATGGAAAGAGAGACAGAGTGAGAACGAAGCGCTTTGTGTCACGATACTTGTCACGAGACTGAACGTTGGACGATACAATCGATGCAATAAAAATTTATGGACATTTCATTTCTATCTATTTAATCCAATTATTTATTTATTTTATCTTATTATACTTCTATGTAATCAGAAATAAATTTGCATGTTTTAATTTATACATTTCTTTCTTTCTTTATCGCGATGAAGATGGAAAG